TATAGTTGTCACTTGATAAGAAAAAAATTGTTAAAGATAGTTGGCTGAAATGGAGACTAAAATCATCTGGGAAAAACTCCTTTCAATCATGATAAAAATCAAACTACTGTTAATTATAGAAAATCGTCCATTTTGAATGGACCCTTGATTCAATAATAGCAAATGTGGTGATTGTGTGAATGCATGGAAACTTTACTGCACCAAATATGGTTCTCTCACACTCCTACCGTCTACTCCCCAAGTAATTAGTTAAACACATAACAAATAAGAACTTGATTAATTGATTGGTTTGCAATTGTAGTTGGTGATCTGAACCACCTGATATCAGCAACCATGAGTGGAGTGACCTGTTGCTTGAGGTTTCCCGGACAACTGAACTCTGACCTCAGGAAACTAGCTGTGAACTTGATCCCATTCCCACGTCTCCACTTCTTCATGGTGGGGTTTGCACCTCTCACCTCACGTGGGTCTCAACAGTATGCGTCCCTCACTGTCCCTGAACTCACCCAACAAATGTGGGACGCCAAAAACATGATGTGTGCAGCCGATCCCCGCCATGGACGCTACTTGACAGCATCAGCAATGTTCAGGGGAAAAATGAGCACCAAGGAGGTGGATGAGCAAATGATCAACGTGCAGAACAAGAACTCATCATACTTTGTTGAGTGGATTCCCAACAACGTGAAGTCAAGTGTCTGTGACATCCCTCCCAGGAACTTGAAGATGTCAAGCACCTTCATTGGTAACTCTACTTCAATTCAGGAAATGTTCAGAAGGGTGAGTGAGCAATTCACTGCTATGTATCGACGCAAGGCCTTCTTGCACTGGTACACAGGGGAAGGAATGGACGAAATGGAGTTCACTGAGGCAGAGAGCAATATGAACGATTTGGTGGCAGAGTACCAGCAATATCAGGATGCAACAGTTGATGAGGAGGACTATGAAGAGGGTGAGGGGGAAGAGGACCATAATTTTGAGTAGTAAGCAACCCTAGTAAATGATTGATCATCACCCCTAAACTCACCGAGCCTCGTCCTCGTTTTACTACTGCATTTGTTGTGTTAGCCTTATATGTATCTATGTCTACCTGTACTTGCTCCATTCCCATTATTTCTCCTATCTTTTGGTGATTTTAGTATCATCTTTTTTAAGTCATAACGTATCGATTTTTACTTTTGAATTGTTTGATATATATGCCTTGTAGACCATATGATTGATTGTTATATGCTTAATCTAAGTGCATGAATAAGAAAATCTTTCCTTTTCTAGAATTTTATATATATAGAGAGGCCCAGAAGATAATAACCTTGTATGCTAACACGTGATTAGAAAACAATAATATTTTTTATACCAAATATATTTAAATTACTTTAACATTTATATTTTTTATGTTATTTTATTATATTCCATTTATTGACTCTTTCAATGCCTCTCTCCCTTTTATTTACGAGTCTTTCGCTTCTTTATCTTAAAAAATATAAGGTGCATTACAATGACCTAATCTTGGCTATAGCAAAACAACTAATTTATGTCTATCAAAATATAATTTTTTTCAAGACTTAGATTTTTTTTCTTAATTATATATATATAAACAAATATTACACCTAACTTAATGAAGATTTAAAATAAACAATAGTATACAGTTGAATAAAATTTATCTTCAGATATATTTATTATGTATAATTTATATAAAGGAAAAAGTATTTTTAATCCCTGTATTTATTTTTTAAACTTGTCTTTGGTTTTATTAACGTATTTCAAAATATATATGATTTTATGACATCTTTGATTTAATTTTTCTTTTTAGTTTTAAAAAAAATTATTACTTTTAAAAAAATTGAGAATAAATTGAAAAAAGACTAAAGAAATTATTTAATAATTTTAATTTAAAATTTGTTTTACAAATAAAAAGATAGCCACGAGAATTATTTGTAAAAGATAAAAGATGATTTTTACAACTTAACACTGACAAAGACGAATAATATGTGAGACCCAGTCACAATTTATGAAAATAAATTTTATCTTTTAATTTGTTTAAAATTAAAAGTAAAAACAAATTTTGAAAATTATTTTAATAAACGTTTATTAAACAAGTTTTTATTATTATTAAAACTAAAAAATTAAAAATTATTTTTTAAAATAGTAAACTTTTTTTTGTATGCTTAAATTTATCATTTAGTAGAAAAAATTATCCTAAGTTAAAAAATTAATAAAATGATTAAACTTACATATTTTTAAAGTTTGAAGATTAATTAATTCATTAAAAAAATATCAAATTACAAAAATAAAAATGCATTTAACTCTTGATAACTATCCTAAATTAATATTTGACCTCGCTTAAAATGCAAAATATACGATGATATTTATATATAAAAAAATTGCAATAAAAATATTATGTTTAGACTTTTATAGAATCACGCAGCAACATGTTAGAGTGGACTTTGGTCAAATTAATATATCAATACATTAAGATAAAGTAATATTGCTAGAAATGTTGAATAATGGTTTTAGACATGTTTAAAGTTACTAGAAATGTGTTAATAAAATGTTACGACCCCAATTTTATTATTTTTTTATAATAATTTTTCTTAATATTTCCTTAATTATTTTAGTTATATTATAAATACCATGATTTGCCTCTTTCTCTTATGAAGATTGGAGAATTGAAATTTTCAATTTTAAAAATTAAAATATTCTACTTCTATTATTTTCTTCATATTTTAATATATAAGAATAATTTTGAAAACGATCGTAATCTAGAAGATTTCGAAGTATTCACATTAAAATGATTTTGATGCAAACATTTTATATTGCACAAGTTGTAAACACTGATAAACCTTTGTAGTTTTTGAGCCCTTATAAACATGTAATGAAAGATGAATAAAATTCAAGGTTGAAGGGAAAGTGTGTCCTCTTGAATGATTTGATTAGCTTGATATCTCAAATATGAACATGAACCTAGTAGTAACCCCTCTCAAAAACCAAGAAACGCCTCAGCACTGATAAGGTTTGGAATTGACAGAGAGATAGATTAATAACATTTGCCAAATTGGCTTACACGGAAATTTTCACTAAATGGGGATGGCATAAAACAGATTCAAAACAACCGCAATTTCTTGTACGAATCCTGAGTGAAAAATTCGGAAGTTAGAGATGCAAGTGTTATTCTTCATTAAGCTTCTTGACACATGATCCCTGCACAAATCCAGTTCATTCATACTACATTTCATAAAAACAGCAGATTAAAAGGAGGCTGTGATGTTTGAAATGCAACATAGTATTTACTTATAATCAACTCCATCTGCACCAACACGGAGAGTAATGCAGTCAAATGTGAGAAGCATACTATAGAGCTGCACAACATCATCACATTTGGTTTCATGGTCCTTAATTTATCCGGGACATCATATTCTGCAATTCTCGCAAAATAAGTACAAACTAGAGTTACAGACTGAAGGAAATCTGGTTTACCCTCCCTGTTGTAGTGCTTAATTTGGTAAATGCTTCTACTTGTGGAAATTCTGGCAATAACCTCAGGCATAAATGATATCTCAACAAGGCATGGAATGGAAGCCTAATTTTTGACAATAGATGCATGAGTCTTACATCAGCACTTGAGGCAGCATAATTTTTGACAATAGAAAATCACCAGATAAATAGAACATGTGAGAAGCTTCTGTACTTGGACTAGGAATGTTGTCGAACAATTAGTGGAAATAGAAAAGGTATGATAATTAGTTTGAAGCCAGAATCTTTGATGACAAGTTGAGATAAGTACAAAATGAATTTATATGCGTTGAATGATAGAGAGATTGAGAAAGAGAGAATTGCAGCTTGTGCTGACTAGAGAAAAAACCAGAGATTGAAGATCCAATGCACAAACTAAGAATTTATTTATTTAAAAAAAAAAGGAAATATGCAACAAACTAAGAATTGATTCTGAAAAAAGAAAAATAGAAAACTACGTATCAAATTGGAATATAGTCATGCAGTTGTTTGAACATACGCAGCAGACTTGGACGACAGTGAAGTGACCGTGATGAAGCTTAAAGGATTACTAAAGAAAGAAGATAGTCCAGTCAGTTCTGTAGAATTTCTGAAATTCCACTTCGACGGGCAGAATTTCAAAATCCTCAAGCAAAGTATTTTACTTTATTAGTCTTTAAATTACATTGTTAAGTATGTCCACTGTCCTTATGTGATTAATCATAACATATACAACTTTTCTATGCTATGCGCCAAATTCATGGTGTTTTCAAAATGTAATTGATTAGATCTGTAGTCACCATTCCAAAACCTAAATTCATGATCAATCAAATGATTTATCAACTATTACAAGTCAGGGAGATTGAGATACTATTTAACCTTAGCATTTGCCACGTATCATAATTCATCACTTATTACCATCTTTGTCGAAAAATACATATCTAATAGTGATGAAGAGTTATAGTCATTTGATTATGAAATACACAAAACAGTAAGTAGAGAAAATACTGAAATTCTATTGGCATAATCACAACTCATCAGATACATTTTTAAGCAACCTATCAAATACCTAAATATACGTTTCACAACAACAAAAATTAGGAGATTAAAATTGATGAATAAAATGCATCATTGATCGCTCTTTAAACTTTGGCGAAGAAACAGAAAAATTACGTTTATATTCGCTGGCTACGATATACAGCTCCCATCAGAGTGAAGTAAACGATTTCAATGTGTCTATATTCTCTTCACATAAGATAGTAAAACTTGTTAGTGTAAGGTTTTTACCACAACTATCATACATATTTATGTACATTCTGCAAATACTACCGACGTCCGGTATGAAAGACAAAAAATTGCATCATTCATGTTTAGAACATATAACGCAACCTTCGGCCACATGCCATCTAAGTGTTTTTCTCTTTCTAAAATGAAAAATAATGCACCAGTTCTGTCAACTAGAACACAGTTCCCTACCTTAAAACTACCTACTGTAAAAAAAAAATCCGAAAGAATCAAAAAGGAACTGCATATGGCAGCGCATACACATCGACCTCAGGGAAGTATTGTGCACGAGGCCACATAGAACTTGAAAGCTTGAAAACATCAGTTTCGCACTTCTGTTTCTTTGAGGCAGGCTGCTTCGCCTCTGCCGGTTCCGAACTAAATAACCAATCTTGATCTATTGTTGACTCCAATTCATCATACGTTAGTGGAGGAATCTGCAACAAAGATTTATACAAGGATACCATTTTGTTACTTCCATCGTCAACTGCATTAACAATGTCCATAGCATCACCAACTGCATTATCTTTGTCCATAGCAGTAACTGCTTGGCTATGTTTAGAACCAGGTTTCCTACGATCCTGTTTCGGTTTCGACTGACGATCACTTCCGGGAGTATTTTCAGTCACCACAGCCACGCCAGGAACTAAATTCTGTACCGCTTTGCCATGTCTAGAATCAGAAATTCCAAGAACCCGTTTCGGCTCTGTATTCCTCAGACTTTGTAACTGAGAATAATTTTCAAGGGTACTTTTGGCGACCCCAGCATCTCCACGAACTGAATTCTGCATCGCTTTGCCAGAGTTTCTAACAACCCGTTTGGGTACTTCCAACTCGAGCGATTGCAATTGCCGATCACTTCCAAGAGTACTTTTATCGACTACAGCACTTCCATTAACTGAATTCCGCATAAATTTCGCATGTCCAGAATCAGAGTTTCCAAGAACACGTTTGGGCACTGCCGTCCTCAGAGACTGTGACTGACAATCATTTCCAAGGGTATTTTTCGCCACCAAAGCATCTCCATGAACAGAATTCTGCATCACATTGCCATGTCTAGAAACAGAGTTTCCAAAAACCCGTTTGGGCTCTGCTGTCCTGAGAGACTGTGACTGACTATCATTTCCAAGGGTATTATTAGGCAAGACAACATCTCGACGAACTGAATTGTGTTTATCTTTGCCAAGTCTAGAATCAGAATTTCCCAAAACACGTTTGGGCTCTCCAGTCATAATACATGGGGACTGACGACCACTTCCAAGAGTATTTTTAGTAATCACAGCATTTCCATTAACAGAATTCTGCAATACTTTGCAGCTGCTGGAATTAGAGTTTCCAAGAATCCGCTTAGGACCAGTGTTTATGACACATTTTGACTGACTCTCACTTGGAATGGTAGTTTTAGTTAAGGAATCTGCAATTTCCAACACACGTCCTGAAGAAGACCCCAATTGAAATTTTGATTTAGAATTCGATTCTTCAGGGTCGCTATGCTTCCTCAAAGGAAGTCGGATTTTAATAGCAGGTCCTGTTTCACACGAAGTCCAAATTAGGTTAAACACAAGTTACCCAAACACAACAGAACAAAGCAAAAATAAGATGACCAGCTTAAAACCCTCCTCACCATTTTCATGAGTAGTAGATTGGGGGGAGCCCCTTTTCCTTTTACTACTTTGAGTACTGTCAGACAAGCAGCAAGGCTCCCGAGAAGTGACAGGTTGTTCAAGTTCCTCTGTAATTCCACTTCTCTCAAGTAGTTCATTCTCACAGACTTCACCTTTTTGCAAATGTCCATCTGCTTTGGATTCCTTAATATCGTTAATGAGCTTGAACTTCTTGCCATCGTCACTGCCATTAGCTGCGGTTGTTGTTCCTTCTCTATGTTTCCTTTCTTTTTTCTCTTTTTTCTCTTTTTTCTCATTCTTCTCTCTCTTCTTCTCCTTCTTGATCCTCTTCTTCTCTTTCTTCTCCCTCCTCTTCTTCTCTATCTCCTCTCGGAGCTTTAGGCAGAAGAATAACATTTTCAAATAGAGGACAGGGAAGAAGTCCAAAGAAACAAACATGCTATGCATGCATTTCAATCTTGTTTCACCATACAATTGCTACAACCAGACTATTTCATTTCTCTTACAAATATTTTGGTAGTCAAGAACAATCGTTTCAGCCATTACAAGAATAAGAACTATTATATAACTTCTACAAATCTAAGATAGTAGCAGTCCACATGCCACACAATAGTAAAAGAGGCTCAGAATCACTCCATCACACATGTCAAAAGCGAACTTCTACCCATGGATGAAAACACCGACAATTACCCAATCACCCACTAATCAAGATGACTGAGTTTCATGTGACCTCACATCCTTATCACCTCAGATAAACAACCTAACTAAATATACCAAATAAGCAGTGATATTTTGCGAAAAACCTCTCCAAGATTTGAATCCCACATTAGAATTGCAAAAAGTTATTATTTAAAACAAGAAAAAGAAAATCATTGACCCACCCTATGATTTATATCAATTTAAGGTTATTTGGGAGAACTGCATGCATTTAAAAATCCTTTTCTTAGTCCCACAAAATATGTTCTGTTAAAAAAGTCATGTGTTAATACTTAATCAAAAGAAAACCCTATAATTAATTATCCAGGTTCGTTAAAAAAAAAATACCAGAGCAACCGATCTTTGCTCATAACAATGGCAAAATCACGGTTCTAGGGTTTGATCAAAGCATCCAAAGAGGAAGTTATTTCATCGTTTGGTGCTATTTTAACCTAGGCTGAAAAGGGGTCGCAGTTTTATCGAGAAAATCAATTTGGAACAACATGCAGAGTTGAGCGCAGAAACGCAAAAACGAAACGGCTCAACACAAACCTTAATCGATTCGATCAAGGCCTCGCTACGTGCACCGTACCCTGGAGGGGGAAAAGGAAAACAACGAGACATCTTCAATTAATATAAAAACCGTTGGTTGGTGTGACTGATTGTGTTTCGATCAAATCGCTCAGCCACGGGAGCTAATCGAGGTTCTGTGAGGTCCGATGACAAGAAAGGAGGGAAAGAGAGAAGCTGGGATCGAAGTATTCTCTCTGGCTGGCGGCTATGGCCTGTAGGGCTCCACAGAAACGAAACCCTAAAATCTGAATCTCGCAAGCCAAATGAGAGGAAAAGCAGGGCAAAGGGTTGTATTTATAGCCAGCGAAACCGACTTCGACTACCACACGGTTTCGTGATGTGTACGCGACCACGCGTATTGCTCCTTTTACGATATTACCCTCGCAAAATCACCAATTTCATTTAATTTATGAGTGATGATTTTTACATTCACAATCGGTTAATAAATTTTATTATTATATCACTATAATGAGTTATTTATTGATTTTTTTTTCTTAAAACGATTGTCAAAGTATATTATCCACCTGTATATTATTTGATTTAGGAAAAAAAATGCATTTGTCCTATATTCATTCTAATAACCCGCATTTTAGATATCGTTGTTTTGTATTTTTAAATAATTGAAGACATACAAGTTCAGCTTGGGATATAACCATAGACGATCAAGTAATAAAAAAAATTATTTTTGTCTATCCATTAGATATTAATATTTCATCTAAAAATAAAAATATCACATTCTCAAAGTTAATTATAATAGCATAAATTATTTTCTTTAAAATTTTATTATATTATAATCTTATGATTAAAAAAATACTTTAACAAATTGAAGAAAATAAATATTTATAAATTATATTAATCTTATTTTCTAAAAAATAAGTATTACGAGAACGATAGAACAATTTTTATATCTGAAAAGGTTTATATTTTTAATAAATTAATAGAAAAAGATATATATAAATTAATCTTATGTAACGATGTTAAACTTTTGAATATACTAAAATAAATATATATAAATTTAGATCGAAGCATATATTATAAAAATTATTTTTTACATAAAAATATTAGATAATACTTATATTGATTTTTTATCTAAAGTTTTTAATTCATAAAATTTATTTTTATCTGTTCTTCTTTTAAATCTTCATATATAATAATTAAAAATAAAAATATTTTCATCCACTGTTTTTTCATTATTGAATATTGTGAACATCGAATCTCTTATTTTCTTTCACGTCTAATTATTTTAAATATTAAAAAAAATAAGAAAGTAAATAGAGATGATTATTTATTTTAATCTATCAACAATCATAAAAAGTTATAATCAAAATAAAAAATATAATAATAATTTTATGATAATGAAAACGAATAATAATTATAATAAAAATGTTGATATTAATATATATATATATATATATATATATATATATATATGATTAGTTTGAATCAAACTTAACAAATAAAAAGAATTTTTGCAAATAATTTTAATAAAATTTTTATTAAATTATTTAAATTATTTTTGAACATATACAAAATAACACCTAATTTTTCAAATCAAGTTTTAAACTTCCAACATAAAATCTTTTTCGTTTATTTTTCTTACGTTTTAAGCCAAAATAATTTAACTTTTAAATCAAATATTTTGAAGGTGATAATAAATATCTCGCTTAAAATATTAAACTGTAACAAAATATTAATCGAGATTATTTTTATTTTATATATCAACTAATTTTTTAAAATTAATAGTATGCATCAATTAATTAAAAGACATTTATATCATCATCATAGCATGACACTCGCTTTTAAGTTATCACTTTTATCCAACAATAAATGTTAGACAAATTAATATCAGAATTTATGCCAAGAGTTTAAATTCTCACGGAATAATTATTAAGAGATTGAATTAAATACACTACATTAATCAACAAAACACTTAATATTAGTATTAATTTATTGTTCTGTTTAAATATTCATAATTATTATATCTATTCAAATAATTATCATTCGTTTTTATTATTATAAGATATATTACTTGTAACATATAGTAAAATATGTTATTTGCAACAAATTAAAATTATTTTAAAAAAATTTATATACAATAGTAATTATAAGATATATTATTTGCAACATATAATAACCTTTATAGATAAAGAAATTAAAATTAATAAACTTGAATGTAAAAAGTAATAAAAACATTAATAATAAACCATTTTCTTTCCCTAGGTAGAGAGTACTTAATTTAAAGTCGCAACTATGTCAACAAGTTTAAAACTTGAACAATGAAACATAATTAAAATTAAGGTAAAATAAACTTTTGTTTTAGCATTTTTTGTGATATT